ATGTTTCGTGTTTCTTCTTGCTACGATAAATGAGCAAATAACTGATCGCATTCAGGACAACTACAAACAACGTAATGCTAATATACACATAATTTCTAATCATTTTTAGTTGTGGTGCAGATGCCAGTGACGGAATACAAGGCTCGATAAGCTAAAACACACATCGTATCAATCAGAAATTTACGATTTTTAATCTACAGCTTTTGTCTGAGCCAAACTTACATATTTTTGTCCAGATGATGCTTCTGGACAAAAACAATATCCGCAATAAATAGTCATAGAAAAAAACGTTATTTACATGGTGGTATATGGCAACTTTTCGTTAGCTACAGTCAAAGCTATTTTGGTAATCATAAATTGTTAATGTAGCTGGAATTTCCAAAAGGAGTTTGAAGAAAAAAACAAGTGACGCAAAGAAAGAGAAGTTATTTTTCTTACAAACACAATCATCCAGCCAAACAGTTTCGATGTCTTCTCTTTCTTACGCATTTTTTTTTTTTTTCATCTACGCAATGCGAAAAACGTGTTCTGCAGAGGGCTTGCTGTGTATATGCATGTATCGATCTTCACATTTCAATCTACAGAGCTATTAAATCTAAAATTTTGGCCACTTAGTCTGTACAATCTTACCGTCCCTAGATTTATATCAGAAGCTCTGGCAAGTGTTTGTTCGCTTTTTCTAGTTTTTAGCGTCAAGCTTCGATCCTCAGATTCGGTCTACCTGCTTCGATTGTTGACAGAGGGTGCCAGCAAAGTCAATGAATACTCATTCAGTTCTACCAAAGTAATAATTTTATGACCTTGTCATCAGCAGTAGCAAAACTGATAAAAACAATAGGTGTCGAATAGGCAAGGCCCGAAGCAACTGCAGCAACAATGAAGCGTTTAATTCCGATCGTACGATATCTAAAAATTTTGTCATCAGTAATAAAATAACTGGCGACACGCAACAAAGTCATCGATGCAATCATACATTTTTGCATGGTGGTGGACGTCTTCAACAGTACATCTTCACTGCTTGATAGTTCAACAAGTGTTCTCATCCCGAAAATATTCTTCAGACTTCTGTCTTTCTGATTTCCAAATTTCTTTTGCGGGAAAATTTTCAGTTTTGCTGTTGGATAACCGTATATGGG